TTTTTTTGGATGTTGTTTGTTGTTTGTTATATAAAGCTAGAGGTGCATGGGTGTACAGCAATACATGTTCTTTGAATGATGTGATGTCTTTGTTGCTTGTAGTGTGTGGCGTAGTAGCTCTTTTGTTGAGGGAAATGTACGGAGTACTACTAGTAGATGGTTGAAGGAGGGGGAAGTTAGTGAGAACTAGTCAAGGACGGACAGCTCCACTGGCACCTGTTTCTTCGGGACCTTCGGGTTAGAGCTCAGCGACGGCCTTTTGCTTGGCATTTCCTTGCTGTGAGACTTGTTCTATCATATTGCAGGGGTGTATCAATTATTATGATACGTATTTTGAGCATTAGAGATTATGCTTAGATTGCTGAATCTCTGCCAATACGTGTTTGGTTCTATAATGCTACCAATGTTAGTCTGTCTTTTCCCGACAGCTCAGGCTATTTGGGGAAATCGATCGACGATATATATTGCCTGGTGCTATACAATAATTTCAATCAAAAGCGGTCCATGTTGGTACTAGTAGCATATACCTTGACGAAAGGAGCCAGACAATGCAGGCATAAAGAAAAATCACATAAGCTGAATGGCTTCACGCCAGTGTCAAAGACACACGTGACCCTGTGTTATACTCTACGATTGTGATAGAACCATCGCCATAGAAATTCATTATTGTCCACCTCCCCGGTTATTCTAGAGGACGTAATCCACACAGACCCACCCTCGGTTCATAATACGGTGTATCTGGTAAAGTTCTAACATCAAACCATAACCGCCTGTATCCAAGAAGCTGCCCGGAAAAACCCCATTACTCTGAGACGGAGCCACCGCAAAACGCAGGATAAAACAAAACTCTTGCGAATGTCTTTTTATTTTCATGAATGGTATCAACACGGCCCAGAAAACAGACATACAATTATCTAGGCAGACCGTCGCGTCTGCAGTTCCAAATCCTAGGAGCCCTCTCGAAGGGTCGGAGAACCTCATCTTGCCAGAGGTGAGAAGTCTATCACATTCAATCACAGGAAATAGTCGGGGGTACGCCTCGAGACCATTGGCTCGCCCGCACGGGGGCAGGGATCGAATTGTAGGCTGCCGAACGACAACAGTTAGTAAAAAAAAACAAAAAATAATAATTCAGAGAATGAAGTGTCACGTACAATGTATACTTCAAATGCTCATCAATCTCCATAATCGCGGCTTGGTTACCGCAGCGGTAGCAATAATTCGGCGCTAAACGCGTATTAGCTTATGACCTGAAAGCGAAGCATCAAGGCACCTACCGGAGAAAATTGTGACCACGTTCCGATCCTGCGACCAATTATATCCCTCCATTACAAGCTGATGTGCTCGTGCAACCAGAGTCAAGCCGTTGTTATGATTAAATGCTTCCGAAATATCCTGCCCGAAGGTGTATCCAGCACCACGGGGCGAGATTCCCCAACCACATCGGTCGTCGGGGTCACTCCACAGCAGGTCGCACATCGGTCCCTCGTGGGGGACCTCCTGGATCCGATCCAGGGACCGAATGTTGTCAAGCGTGTCGATCGACGGACTCAGGCCGCCGTGGAGGCAGAAGATCTGGTTTTCGATGAGTGCGGTGAGGGTAGGTAATCGAAAAGATCCGTGAAGTATTTCCAGACATTGGCGTTGCCATATTTACGCAAGCACTCGTCGTAGAATCCATATACTTGAGTAATCTGGCGGGACTCGTGATTTCCACGGAGGATGGTGATGCGCTGGGGGTAACGGATTTTAAGGCAAACAAGGAGGGTAACGGTCTCTACGGAGTAATAACCACGGTCGACATAGTCACCTAGCAAAAGGCAAGGATGGTTAGAGGGACCAGCCAAAGACCCCGACACGGGAACGTACCCATAAACAGATAGTTTGTGTCTGGATTCGGGCCTCCGATGCGGAACAGTTCCATTAGGTCGTGAAACTGGCCGTGTATATCACCGCACACAGTCACTGGGCATTTCTATAATGGCCAAGTCAACATCCGACCGGTCGCGTCGCTCAGCTCGCGAGGAAGGGAGAACACAAAATCAAAACAAAGGCACGTACAACTGGTTGCACATTGGATTCTTCCTGCAACACCTCTCTTGCCTGTATCCCAAAATTAGTCTCACCCACAACCCGCACCACAGTCTGTAAACCCTGGACAGCAACACACCCGATCACACAGTCTCCGCACGTCTTCCTCCGCTAGTTGCTTGCAGCTCATCAAATTTTCAATCCATCCGTCCAGTGTCGGTATCGACCCAGGGTCAGACGTCGGCGACAGGCGGTGGGGCTCGGGGGACCGCGCAGTATCGATTTCCATATTGTTGTCCATTTAGAGTGATGCCAGACAATGCGTTAAGGGTAGAATGCTCGGATGGCTGTGGGCGAGGAGGGGCGGAACACTGAGTGGGCGGGTCTCGTGAGGCTGTCGGTGAGGGTGACGTGTAAGAGGAAAATACAAGAAATTAAAGGAACAACAGAATTGGATAACTGAAATAAATTCTAATAGGACAAACACCGATTGCGACGGTGGTGGTTGTGTAGATGGGGATGAAGTTGATAATGGGGGTTGGAGGGGAAGGAGGAAGAGTGGAAGGGAGGTTTGGACTGAGGTTTGGTGCTGGCCGTGCAGGTTTGGTCGCTGCCTCTCTGCGCTGTGGTTGGTCCGTGCGCCACACTGCACTCAGGCCGCAAACCACCAGCCACAATTCCCCCGGGATCTCCAAAGCATCGCCAACCCCGCCACATCTGGAAATCTCTACCTCTACTTGCGCAGAATTACGAAGTGTTCAAGGCTTTTGCACAACCGTGGGACTGAGATAACATTCAGTGAGCTTTACCATTAAAATACATAATCCTTCGTTACAAATTCATTACCGGAGGCAATTATTGTCTCCCAATCTGTCATCATGTCGTAGAATCTGTTTTCTGCCCGACTAAGTTAGACCGACAGCTACAAGGAGCTTAACCGCGCGCTTAGATGATGTCACCGCCAAACCCAAACCCGCCAAATCCGCCTCCGCCGGCGCCACGTCCTCCGGAGGGCCCGCGCCCTTGCCCGAAAGGTGCTCCAAATCCTGGCCCAACAGGATCATATCGGGCCCCGGGCGGCGCCTGCGGATCATATCCTCCCCCTTGGGGGCCGCCGAATAGAGGATCATCAAAAGTTGGGTGCATACCTCCACCTCCGCCTCCGCCAAGTCCTGGTCCAATGCCCCCTCTGAGAGGGTCATGAGGACCTAATCCAGGAGGATACAGATCTCGATCTCCAATATTGAGCGGGTTTCTGCCTCCCATGCCGGGAGGAAATCCGCGAGGCGGTCTCTGGATTTCGAACTCATCCTCGAATCCGGGTGGTGCAAAGTCTCCCGGAGGAACTGGTCGCCGAGGCGCTGTCGCCAGGGGGTCGTCAAATGGATACGGGCGCGCGGGCTGTGGGAGTTGATCATCTCGTAATGGGTCGCGTCGCGGGGGTCTCTCTTGTGGCTGTTCCCGTACTGACCGACTCGTGGCCTCATATCCTTCCTTGTATAATCCGGGAGCGAGCTTTTGGATCACGTTTATCTTGAATAGCCCAATCAAATCGGTCAAGCGCGGTGTAGATATGAACACTTCACTGAGAGTGGCGTTTGACTCGGTTGATGATGAAACAGGCAAAGAGGACGTAGAAATGAAGTCTTTGACCGGAAGGTCAAAGGAAGTGGTTTTGTCATCTCCCAGTGCCAGGGCGAAAACAAGGGCATTATTTCCTATCCGGCTGACTTTAAGCAGATACTGCATCGAAGACTGCGAATGAGCATAACGGAAGGAGAAGGTATCGTTTGCGTTCCATCCTGAAGGAAGAGATGGGCTGTCCGATGAGCTTTCTGGTGGTTCTAAAATATCAGCAAGGAGCAGAGAAATGAAGGAAAGTAACAGCATAAGAAAAAACCGAAAAACACAAACCTATCGTGTGTTCTTCGCCAAGGCCCACCAGACGAAAGTTGACAGCCAGCATACATGCATGGCCGATGAGCGCAACCGCTTCGTATGGAGTCTTGAGACTGTATTCCACATTTCCGTCTCCCTGTAGAGCCTTCTGGGCAAGGTCCAAAACATTCTCGGCCCGTAAGATGTCTATATTTCCGGCCATATTGAGTATTCGTTGGTCCAAACGATGTAGAAGTTGGTAGATACTAGGATATGAGGTCGCGATGATGATGTGGGAAGGCAGAAGCGCTATCGCGGCCTTCACGTGTTGATAAGTAGATTGTACGCCCGCGCTAAGCCGAAGGCAGTAAGGTCGACCTGCCACAGCGTGTTTGTTCCTCGATCTAGACCAGACATACATGCACACTTTTCCAAGATCTCAAAGGCTACGCAACATTCGAGCACTATTCCATGATATGAGTAGTAGACCAAGCTGCTGTAACGAAATCTTCATACTGACGGTCTTATGATTCATTCACCTACCACCCCCCAGCCAAGACAGATGGAACAGGAGTTGTCCATTCGAACTGAAACAGTAAGCATGGAGTGAGAACTTGAAGCTGTCTTGCTAGCGTATCGTAAAAAACTCAACAAAGGCGCTACAAAACCAAAGCTCTGGTTAATCGAGGCTCTACTTGAGGTGTCTACCATCGGATATCGAGAGAGTCAATTGATTGGCGGCCCCACAAAATACCCGATGAGGCAAAACGGCCAGCATGTGATCTCAGCCTATCATGAAGTTTGAACTCATCGGGACACAGACCTTGCACGATACATCCGAACCTTTCACGAACTCCACTTGGCGAAGCATGCTCTGGGTGATGCCATCCAATCACATATCCAGGTAGATTGGTGGAAATGCCCCGGGTCGGTACGTAACAGTGATTCTCTGTCCAAAGGATCGGCCTGACATAATACTACAACGTAGGGCCTGCATGCTTGACATGCAGGGAGAAGTGTCGAAAGTGTGATCGTGCACGTCCCAATTGCCAGCGCTGCATATCAAAGGGTCTAGTATGTGGAGGGTATCCGGAGCAGTTCAGATTTTGTGGTATTGCTAGTCGAGGAAAATGGAAAGGCGCCCGGATACCGGTGAGCACTCAAAGACCTCGGAATGCAGCGTACAGAGGAAATATAGAGCAAGGCATCCATCAGCAGCAAACTCCAGGAACCATGAATGCGGCTCCGACATCCGCGGAAGAAGCTCACCCGTCACCACGCACGGACAAACCCGATACGGATACGCAAGAGATATCCAACGACATCGCGGAGATACTTAGATTGCCTGAAACCGAGACACTTCTCTCTCATTGTAAGTGTAGTCTTTACTCATGAATTCTTCACAAACATGGTAATGACCTCGTCCAGATGACAAGTTTATATGCCCTCATCAGATCTCCGAGATTGGTAATGAGACCGACAACCCGTATCGGTTATATATCCTTCCTTTAGCCCGAAAGCAAATTGGTTTACTATACGCTGTGCTTGGCTTTTCAGCTTCACATCTCGGGCAATTGACGGGGAACCAAACGATGCACGAAGCCACTGCAGTAGAATATCGCATGAAAGCGATACGGGCTCTCAGTGAAGAGATCCGTAGGAGTCAAGCATTGACTTTGCTGGATGACGAGCAAGATGCCGTTCTTGCCATCATTCAGATTTTATTACTTCATGATGTGTGTGGCTGAGGACAGAGAGTGTTACCCTTCCATTCTGAGAGCCTGACCGTCTAATACAGATAGCCGAATCCGGAATTTCGACTCATGGGATCCATATAACGGGAGCTATGTCCGTCTGCAAGCGGCTATTGATTTCCGAGGGACTCAGCGGTCACCGTCAGCGGGCCGTGTTCTTTCTGGGCAACCTCGCCTGGTATGGTATTTGACATCCCAATATTTCGATATGTACTAATTCCTTGAAGGCTTGATATTATCCGCGCTTTTGCGGGTCCAGAACGCCTCTGCTTCTCTCAAGATATCCGAGAACTGGTTGCATGTGCAAGTGAAAGCACATTCGAGATGGTAAACGGATGTCCTCGGGAAGTTTTCCTGATTATTGGTGGTATTCTAGAAAAGTCCAAAGAGCACACATTGGGGTGGCTTACATGGGATGAATATCAGATAGCCATGCTCGTGGCCAAGCACAAGCTATACTCATGGGATAGCAAAGAGAAGATATACCCTAGTAGTGACCCTCGTTGGCTGGCTGTGGCGGAGGCTTTCCGGTTCGCATGCATACTACGCATCCTTCGCTTACTAGACGATCTTCGTCCGGCGAAAAACCCAGACATACAAGACTGTGTGGCTCGGATCTTGGATGCAACCGCCACCATACCTTCGGACTGTCCACTGGTCGAACTGCTCATTCTACCTCTCTTCATGGCAGGCGCAGACTCCCTTGCACCGCATTCACAGTATTACATTCTATCCCGATTCAAAGAGATTGAAAAGAGATCCGAGGTTCGCAACCCTGTGCCTCGAGATCTTTTAGAGAAGGTATGGGCTGCTCGTGCTGCCCAAATACCTGACGATGATAGAAATATCTCGTGGACGAGCTTTGTAAGTTGTCTGCTTGAGAGACCCGCTTCCTCGAGCCCCACTAACGTTGCTAAGACTCATTGTCCTGGAATTGCACGACAACATGACTATCTTATCATTTAAAACATAAATTAGTTGTTATATCCTGAGCTAAACGATTTATATTACGACGCCGCCAGAAGTGAGAAGATACTGGAGTATTTTGATGATAATCCGCACCGTACCATAGTATACAAGACAAGTGAACAAAAGAAAACAAGAAATGAGAAATGAAATAACAAAGAAACAGGAAAATGAATATAAGGCGAAAAAGCCGTTGACGGAGGCAGTATCACTCCTGGCTAACCCACATATCTCTCATATAGTCTTAGTCGCACGTTGAGACTTTCATGCTCTCAGCCGTGTGGTTAATGCAGGCGCAGCTTGGAAACAAACTTCCTCGCTAAGTTTGAAGTTGAGCTGTCCCTGATAGGGCGCATCGATTTTTCTTCACGTAACCGTTGCAACATCGTCAACAAGCTCGCTATCACAACAGCTTCCTGCTCCTGCCCACCACTTTCAGGGAGCAAGAGCACACCTTCGCTAAAGTCTATAGGTAGCCACATCACAATGCCAACATGGATATAAATTGCGAGTATCTCGGGTTCATCAAGATTGACCAAGGTGTAGCGGAACAGGCTGTTTGGTCCTGGGTGGACTTGCCATTGAACCAATTTCCAGGGTGTCTCTTTGTGCCTTGGGAGACGCCATGTGAAATAAGGGTGCGGGACTTTGTATTCTCCTCTCACACTTGGTTCGATGGGAAAAGATGCTGCCATCGGACCACTGGCGTGTTCGCCCTGATCGGTCACAAGAAAGAATTCGGCGCTACCAGAGGCAATGAAACTAGCAAGGTTAGCGTTGGCATTCTCTGAAAATGAAAAGACAGCACCCACGCATTGGCTTTGACGTCGTCGCTCTTGCTCAAGCTTCTGCGCTGAATTTGCAGCTCCACAACTTCGTCCGTTTTGATGGCGTCGACCAGATATTCCACCCGCGCGTTCATGTCGTCACCCCGAGGCTTATCCATATAACTCAGCTTGGCCGAGTGGAGATAACTACCGAAGACCGTATCTCTAGTGGAATCCCGATAGCTCGCGGCAACATTATACACAGGGAGATGGGAAGTCATTGAGTCATGGCGAGGAATGTATAATGCTCGCGTGAAGTCCTGAGGTGGGCTGTAACGAGCATGACTTTCAAACGTACCATGTGGTGGTTTGGAGACATTAACCAGCCCCGTGGCGCATGGAAAGGTATTTGATGACACTGTCAATGATGGCACAGACATCGCTATATGAGATCGACACGTGGTTGATTCAAGATATGCGTTAGGTCAAAGGTAGACCAGGCGCCCCGCTGAGTTATATACCTTGGTTTCCTGGTTTGCCATCATGTAAGCCGGCCGAGTCTCCAGCCGCAAGAAGTCCTATTACAGAAAATACGATGGACTTGTGAGAACGAAGGTCAGATGAGGGTCATCGCCACATGGATTTAGTTCCAAGATACTCATTTAAGTAAAGAAAGTGAAAACGCCAAGAGCGCCAAGAGCTGCAGGGCTACAAGCTAGCTCACTTTAGGTTAGATCAATCACCACGCTAACTCCAAGTGGCTGCCTTACTTTCCTAATACAGTAAAAGTGTCAACCTGCACTCACTGCCGATTCGAGCAATTCTTCCAACCTCTGCATAATAATATAGATATAAGGACATCCCTACGTTAGACAAACCTTGACTCTCATCACCTACACTTCTCTACCACCGACATTATACAATCACGATGGCCACCTCCAAAGAATGGCAGAAAATGCTCAATGGCGAGCTATACTGGGCCTGGGACGAGGATCTACAAGCCAACCGCGAACGATGCAAATTAGCATGTCAGCAGTTCAACGAAGCCGGACAAGTATCTAGACGGCGCAGGGTGGAACTTTGGAGAGAGTATGCTTGTTTGATCTCTGCACTTTGCGATATATACCAATAGACATCTAGTATAATTGGGGATACCCGTCCTCTCCCACCCCCTCTCGCGGATGCCAAAGAAGACGAAGACCAATTCAAAGATACAGACCCCTTCGTCGACCCCCCAATCACAGTCGACCATGGTCTCAATCTCAAGGTTGGAAAAGGGACATTCCTCAACTTCAACTTGATCGTCCTGGATACCTGTCTTGTGACAATCGGGGAACGCGTCCTATTCGGCCCCAATGTTAGCATCTATGGTGCCACGCACCCGATGGATCCTGCTGTGCGACGCGGGCTCGAGGGGCCGGAGGCAGGGAAGGAAGTGCATATTGAGGATGATGTTTGGATTGGCGGGAGTGTGATTATTTTGGCGGGTGTTAGGGTTGGACGGGGGAGTACGGTTGGTGCTGGCAGTGTTGTTACCAGGGTATGTCTTTCTGTTTCTTTCTCATCATTGTTTTGGTAGATTGCTAACTTCTCACTAGGATGTGCCACCTTTTCACTTCGCTGCTGGAAATCCGGCACGGGTGATTAGGAAAATTGAGACTAGTATGGATCCGGAGCAGCAGGCGAATCAATGATGGGAAAGAGGAGGATTCAAGCAGGAAATGGGTGTTTGTGGGTATTTTTCTATGAGAAAACGCTTTCATGACTATTCTGTCGAGCCGAGTTATGCACAGTGCGATAAAATCCATTATTTGCAATATACTGAAGTGTTGAGGGCCGCCATGATAAAGGGTACAATAACTGGTGATATTCTCCCAGACTCGTACAGGCGTACAGGAAAATGCTAGAGAAGCCGTATCTCACGGCATAACGAAATTTTATGGTATCTAAATCCTGAAGTACATATCTTACAACATCGCCTTAGGGAACTTCTTCATAGCCTGTCGTACGCCCAAATCGGCCAGAATCTCCTCCGTTCCACCCAAGATGGCGTCGAACTTGTACGTGCGATGGAACATCTCGATGACCTTGCCCATGCCTGTCTGGGTCAGACCACGACCACCGAAGATGTTCGTCGCTTGCTCAGCGATCTCCTGCGCGGCGCGGGTTGCGTGAGACTTGAGCAGGCCGATGGGGCCACCCAGATGCGTCGCTTGTTCCTTGTAGGTCATGTTGCACATTTGGTAAGCGATGGATTCCAGCCAAGCTTGGTTGGATTCGCAGAGCGAGATCATTTGGGCGAGTCTGGATATGGTTAGCATTGAGTTCTTTTTGAAGAGGATCTGAAGGGGTGGTCGTTACTTTTGTCGCATGACAGGCTGTTCAATCAGCTTCTTGCCGAAGACAATACGTTGGTTGCACCATTTCATGCACTCCTCGACCACCGTCATGGCCATGCGGATTGTGCCGCAAGCCATCATGAAACGTTCGTGGTTGAAGTTGCTCATGATGACGATGAAGCCCTTGTGCTCCTCACCCAGCAGGTTCTCGACAGGAACCTTGACGTTCTCGAACTGAATGTATGCCGTACCGGCGGCGGTCGAGTAGGAGGTCTTGATCAGCTTGGTCTCGACGCCCTCGCCGCGGGGGACCAGGATCACCGAGAAGCCCTTCTCGGTCTTGCAGCCCACAACGAAGTAGTCGGCGAACATGCCGTTGGTGATCCACTTCCTACAGGATGGTTAGCAATGTTGTGACTGTATAAATGGCAGGGGTCGTACTTGGTGCCGTTGATAATGTAGTGCTTGCCATCTGGAGTCTTTGTCGCCGTGGTGCGCAGTCCAGCTACGTCACTACCAGCGAAAGCTTCGGTGATGGCAAGACACATCTTCTTTCGGCCCGACAGAACCTCGTCGGTGATCTGGTCGCGAAGAGGGACATTGCGCAACCACTGCTGAACGGCGGTCAAACTGATAGCCATACCAGCCATGTTTCCGTCCGAGAAGCCTGCCAATCGTTAGACCTCACCATGACAGCAAATAGAAAAGAGTAAACCCACCTCTGGCGTTCGCCCGGCTCAGCTCCTGCGAAATGATCAAATCGTGCAGATAGTCGAATTCCTTTCCATCAACAGCACCACCCAGCAACTTGCGACCATGCAGATGCTTTCCGGGGCCCAAGCGCATGGCCAAAATGCCAGCCTCCGCCATGCGATCGATCAACTCCTGACTGATATAGGTGCCATCCTTCTCCTTCTCCTGCGCCTCGGGGTAGATATAACGATCGGTGAACTCGCGCACGGCGCGCTGCAAGCGACGATGGCTCTCCTTATAGTAGGGGTTCTTGAAATCCTTACGCAGCCAGAGGGGCTCGGCATAGGGGACTTCGCTGAGGCTGCCGGGTTCGCGGGGCGCAATGTCGGGGGTTTCGCCTTCTACGGTTCCGATGCAGAGCTCATCGCGGTATTTCTCGAGGACTTCTTGACGGTGGAGGTTGTAGAATTCGGCGGTCGCATCTTGGCCGGCGACCTGGGCGAGGACGACGCTACCGCCGGGGTGGGCGTCGAGGAAATCTGTGAGGTCGTAGACGCGGTGGTCGATGATGCACCAGAGGGAGTCTTCGGAGGCGTGTTTGGCGACCTCAGCGCGCGAGAATGTTTTCGACATGGTGATTCTGTCTTTTGGTTTCTTGCCCACCACACTGAACGGGAGTTATTTCTGGGGGGGAAGAACTAAAACTCTTTTTGCGGGGAAAGGTCTGCCATTCTATAATAGTTTTATACAGGTGTGCCAATCATGGGAACCTCATTACAGACGAAGATTTTACCGAGGCTTCTTCCTCTTGCGGTAAGCCGATTTACCGCGGGGACCGAGTGTATGCGACTCGAGAACGAAATATTAAGATCTTCAACCGACGATTAGAATATCTCTATTCTGATTTGTCCTGATCCTTGTAGAACTACATAGCTGAAGCGTGGCTGTCCGATGTGCGCTGTTCAAGGGTCTTGATATCCCTTGTTCTTTTGTTGTGGTCGCCAACCATTTGTCTTGTGAATGGCTCAACCTCGGCTAAATCCGCGGAAGCTGCTCCTTGATTTCAAGGGGGAACTGATCACTAATCTTAGGCTCCACCGGGCACTATTGAATCTAGTCCGGTGGCGATCTCAGATCCATCAGACCACGTCTCCATCTCCATTCTCCAACCAGGTCTAGGGTCTAGAATATCATGTGGTCGTTACTGATTTCGGAAGTCACCTGTCTCACCTCGACCCTAACTATATCCGCCCCAGATTAGGAGAAACAGTGTGTGGTGTTGGTTAACAACGAAAAATGCGTTGGAATAAACCTACGCAGTAGTTTCAAAGAAATACAACGTGGCAATGCTGACGTTCCACCGGCACTTGGCCTGCCAACGCTCGGCTTTTGATCCGTGCGGTTGCTCGATTGGCTATATAACGCCTCTTAATCTCATTGACAAGGTACTGGATCTTGGGCACGGACGCCATCTCGTATTCCTACCTACCTGAAAGGCCGTTTCTGGTCAGGTGAAACTGATGAAGGTGGTAATAGACGGTCGTATCTTAATGTCACTGACGATGTCGCATTTCTTCTTTTTCCTGCTGGGTTGGATTGTACTAGACAATAGATATGAAGTATAATCTATTTTTCCAAAAAATCAATTCCCACTCGTAGCTGTTGATTTATTTGAAATGAGCGAAACTCTATCGAGGGTTTGGGTTAGATCTAGAATAGCTTATTCTAGACTTTAATTTTCTGTACTGTAGTAGTACCACTGAGGAAATGTAGAACATTAGCAACCCATAACGCGAAATGAGCCGAAGGACGACCATCCCAAGCATAATCCGCCTCTAGTTCCTTTGACTAGACATCCCTTCTATGAGCTTGACCTCTGGTAGAGCAATATTCTGCATTGAAACTCGTCCAGATCACACGAAGGGATATCGTTGCCGTTGGTAGAAAGGCTCCTCATTACTTGTCAATTCGAGAATTCTGGGACCCCTATGACGAGGCCTAAATCGGGCCTTTTTCGAATGCCCACCCCTCATGCCATACGCTGGTGAGATTTGTCTTTTTGCGGACGGTCTAGCCGACGAAAAAGGCGTCGGGCGCTCTGTCTTGACCTGCACACGAGACCCCAGATCTATAGCCTGTTGTTCCCAGAATCCCAGACCGGTCGCCTCCAATCGCTGCAACTCCAAGTTACAGATCTCGATCATTCGCCCGAAATCGTGTATGACTGTTCGCAGAGCCGAGGCCGATTCAAAGTGCTCTTGCTGGATGGTCCATTTAACCAGCTCGCCGTCAAATGGGTGGTGGCATTCTGTGCCAGCTGAGATTTCAGCGGGGGATTGTGAGATAGTAGAGGACATGGCCGATTTCTGAGTCGTGGAAGAGTCGCCTAGTGGAGGATTTTCAACAAC